TTCTCAATCTCAACACTAGTTCTATTGAACTTTAGGTTCAAGGATTCCTACCAAGTATTATAAAAAATGATAAATTAGGTAGCAGTAAAGAGAAATGCAGATCCAGTCCATAAAACAAAATTCAAGTCTAGATAGATTAACATACAAATATCAGATCATAAAAATTGCCAATTTGCCACACCTTACGCATTTCATCATAAAAAATTGCAAGATCACCCAACTCACAGTAGTGTAAATGGGGCTCCTAATATTAGGGGCCCACCCCTATCCAATGCTAAGTGTTGTGCAGTTTCGTACCTAGACTGCACAATACATTTTCCTATTCTCTAATGCTTAGAAGGAGTTTTCTTTTAAGAGCTCAAGAGGATTTAAAAGGAACTTGCCTGATACCACTGACGGAAAACAGCCAAGTCAAAAAGAGCCTGTTTAGATGAAAGATATCCCAAGTTTTCGGTCGTCATAGATTTAAAAGGGGAGCTTTTTCCATAGTAACGGTGCTCAAGAGAAACCACAGCTGCTCCAAACTTCTTTGCCAAAACCTATGCAACAGAAATCAAGTCTATAACTATGCTTCCTATTAAAAATCCACCTTACCCAATTCAAGAAAATGCAGGAGCAAACAATTTTATGTTCGTTTCAAAAACTTGATTCTTAACTGAGAATTCCCACCACAAATTCATGATAAAAATTAGAACTTTACGTTGAGATAATCATTGGGTATGCCATTGCAGGTATACTCGCCGCATAGTGTCAGAAAGATCGGCCCGTCTGGAACTCGGAAGTAGTCCAAGAATTCATAGTACCGCTGCTCAAACTGACGGTGGTCCTGTAAGAAATACAGAACCCAAATTTGCATAAATTTTAGCAGATGAATGTAATTTGGATATAAAAAGGGCAGAGAGATTGGAATCCAACGACAGAGAAATGAGGGAGAATTATTACATGAGGAGAGAAGTGATCGAGGGTCTGATTGAACCAGAGCGCCGTCGTTGTCAAGTAAAAGTCGTTGCTTTTGGACAAGCGGTGAAGGAACATACTAGGAGGTGCAGGAAATCCATGTCCGAAATTCGACAGCGTCACGAGTAACAACAGCGAGAAAGACACGAATTTTGATTCTAGCTTCATCGTCGCCACCGTACCTATTTTCCCGATCTCCATTAACGGTGCAACGTTGTTCTTGGGTTTTTTATTTGGGGGGCAGGGGTGAGGGGGAGGGTGTTGAAAACCGTACAACGTTGTTGTTTCAACGGATCAGAGTACGGAAGATTGTTCTGTTGGTTTATCTGGTTAATGCAACGCGGGACATGGAAGCGTGGCGCGTTTTGAGTTGTCTGTGGTTTTATTAATGGAATATTTATCTGTCCATTTTTCTTTCATGTTTGATAATGCAGTACTTCTCTATTCAAATTTCTTGACAAATGAAGAAAATTTAATGTTGTATTTTTTTTTCCAAATATAGAAATTTAAGACGAGAAAAGGTTACCCACTTACCCTAGTCCAAGGTTGTTAGAAGGCTCATATGCTATTTACAATTCCAATTGTGCACAGAAGCAAATTAGACCGATTGAAATTGGTTTGCTTTGTTTCAAAGGAGAAGCCAGCCATCATTTTCCCTACATCAGCTAAATAGTTTTTTCAGTTCTTCATTTCTGGAAGTCATCCTTATGTAATCTTGATTTATCTTGCTTGTTTATTCAGGAAAAGATATACTCAGAATCTAATTGCATCATTCCAAAGCCAAAACCAACCTGTTTTCAATTTTACTTCACAAGTCTTTTATCCCTAGCTACCATTAAGGACAAAAACATAGTTAAGAAACTTACAAAGAAGGGCTTAGCAAGAGGAACGAGTGAGCTACCAAACACACGCTCAAAGGTTTAGGGAATGGTATGTTTAATTTGAGAGAAAGAGAATAATGGATGATTTTTTTAACCAATCAAATTATAATGTTGAGAATTAATGCAACTTGATTGGTTCCTTCAAATTAAACGTACCCTCATCAATGATGTTCGGAACACAGGCTTCCTTAGTCTCCATCCCAGGTCAACAAAGGCCTTCACAACATCTCAAATAAATCTGTCACCATATCTGGTGACAATCAGACAGAAGAATGCCTTCCACAGGGTGTGTTTCAAGCCAGAAACTAGATATATATCAGCTGGGATGTAGAGCATATTTATATAACCATTAATTCTCATTGTCAAGCATTGTGTTTCTAAATTATAATTCTCTCAAGAAAATTAGAAACGCCAATTCTACAACGTCATTTCAACATCACCACAAAAAATCCAAAAACAATGGCAGGACACCAAGCAAACAATTCTTTTCAGTGGATTACATTCTTTGTCTTTGCGGTATGAACTAAAGCTACACTTACAGTGTTCATTTGAGAAGAGACATAATAGTTTACGGTCTAAGAAGCAGATAACAAAAGTATAGTTGAGACCCCACAGTTTCTGGCTTTCAAACAAAATTTATTGCACCAGGAATGCTTCTGAATCATCATTGCTGCCTCCGAGAACAGCAAATTATTGTTCCTTCAAATATTGCAGTAAAGATCATGTCAAATTTGGATGCATAAGCAGCAAAGAAGCTATAAAGTTCTGTATTTGTAAACTGAGTCTTCACATCCAACAATATTTGATAATTCTATGTACTTGAGAACAGAGTTGTTGATATTGCATTTTGAATTCTAATCTTCCAAATCATCTACTTTATCATGCATATGAAAAATAATTAACAAAGAAAAAAAAGAAGAAGAAAATATTCAGTAAATTAGGGACTAATACCTAAACTAATTAGCAAGAGCACATGAAGATGAATGAGGACTAGTATTCATCTGTATATTTTGGATAATTTTCACAGATTTATCTAGTGTCACTGTGTCAAAATGATCAAAAATATTTTAAGGGAAAAAAAATCTTCTGATGAAAATTTACCATTCCTTATTTATTCCTTGAACTTGCAGAATATGTTCTCTTGCATTAAACTGTTTTATCAGTCTTCATTGTTTTATCTAAGATAGTACTGCCTAGCGAAACTATCTATTATTCTTGCTAGCACACCTTCATAACAAAGGTTTATTTTGTTTAATTCACCTCAATGCACAAAAAGGTTCGACTCTATAACTTCCTAACAACAATGACACTTCAGTTTTGCACCAAAACTAGCCGATCAGGTTCTTTGGAAAGAATGGGTGGGGTTTTTCATCCAAATGCCATATAATGTAATTGGGTTCATTCCATTACTCAGGAGAAGATCCCATGTTGACTAACCTGGTTGTTTGAACCTTGACCATGCATTCGATGAGGCCTCATGTTCAAATCAATCATTTTTGCATGTCCATCAGCATTAGCATCTATTGTTCGAACAGGAGAGACCTTGTGATTTTGTTGGTGTTCCCCTGCTGTAAGCTTTGGTGGCTGATTTTGACTTCTTCTAGTCTCTCCTCCATCTGCAGGTTGTGAAGGTGGGTCCTCAGTATTACCAGCTTTATCTCCTGGGAACTGAATAGAAAGTAGAAACCAAAGCACATTAATTGCAACAATGAACTAATGTTCCCAGAATTACTAATGACCTTATTCTCTTCAAAATGAGTGACCAACCTCAACTCTCTGCCTTAATAGAAGATATCTTCCATGTGTTCTTTTCCCTCCAACATGAACAACCATATCACATTGCAAACAAAGGGAACTCCCATCTATCTCACAGTAAAAGAAAGCTACAAAGCACATTTCCAAGGGAGACAAATTTGAGAAATTTCAATAGAAACAGATAAATTAATACTGTATAGTGAAAGAAATTGGAACCCAATCACGCATGCGCCCTGATGGCCATGCTCTTCCTTGGGAGCATGTGATGGCACCAAAGTCCAGGGTTCAAACCCTGACAGTCCCCTTCCCCCATCCCCTATGATTGTCCAGTTTCAATTTTCAAAAAATGGAATAGGAAAGAAAGAGAGTGTCAAAGACAAAAAGAGACCTGCATACCAGGTGCATTTTCACATATGTCACAGCGTGGAACATCACTAGGAGTTGCAAGACCAACCCGAACATGCCGGCTAGCAAGCTTATTGCACATGTGTACCTACCACAACAAGGATTAATAGCTCAAGCAAAAGCTTAGTGCTTAAACAGGACAGACCATTTGATAGCAAACAATATCGAGAACCATCTAATTTTTCCCCAACATACAATATAACAAGCAAAGTAAAGTGCACTTGGAATAAATTAGTACAAGACATTTCAGTTGAACTCATTTGCAAAATCCAACAAACGTGTAAAATTAAGCAAAAAAACCAAAAAAATCTATGAAAAGGACCAATCTTTAACGATCTATCTGGTAGTACAGGTAGCCAGGAACAGAAGAACTTCGATTTCAAACAACTTTAGCATTCCTAATCTCCATACAGAAAGATTGAGGCTTTGCTTTTAATTAGAGAAAAAGGACCAACCTTCTCATCACAGGCGCGGCAAAGAGCTGCCTCATCAGCGGCGCAGAACACAATAGCAGCAGCACCCTCACAGGCGTCACAAAGGGTTCGCATAATTCTCTCCCACTCTCATCCTCCCCCCAATCAACCAAGAAAAATTCTCAATCTGTACCAAATATCCATAAAATAAATAAATAAATAAATAAATAAAACCCAACTCAAAGAAAACAGTATTAAAGTCACTGCAGCACTGCCTGACAACCAAAGGGTCCTTGGTGATAACGATGATGATGATGATGGGAAGCACTATGATTGGTGGAATGAGATAAAGGTATAAGCTTTTCCCAAAGAAGACTGTAGAATGGCAAACGAGGAGATACAATTAGCAGAACTCACAAAGACACAACAAATGAATAAGGGAAGTTGTGGGGGTTTTGGTTTTTGTCCATATCCTTTGGCTTGGTTCATTCCATTGCTCACTTGGTGGCCACAGATTTTGAAGGGGCTTTGGTGTGCGCGTGGGGTTGAGAAGGCCTCCTTCAATCTTGTCCACCAGTTACATATCTCACATGGGCCCACTTTCTTTTCCTACCATACCAACATTTTACTCAAAGTTCTCCAATCTCCATGACCTTTCTCTATATTACACTAGTAGAATTGTGTAATCACCTTTATAATTACTTAATTATGTTTCATTTGTCAGATCATTTATGGCTGACATAATTTGGGTTCACAGGTGGCAGAATTAGGTCCATAAGAATCACCAATAATTATCTTTATTTTAGTAGGTCTTGTTGTTAATTGGTACCTTTAATGAGTTGTTGATGGTTGGTCGTTAATAATTTTTTCCCTGACTTGGATTAGTCAATGAGAATGAGTTTTTCTCATCCACTTCACACTCACAAGGTTTCACATGGGTTAAAGTAATTGGTTTTTCCTTCCAAGTACACATGATAAGGATAATTTTTTTTATTATATATATAATATATATAAAGTTTGATATTAATTTTAATATTAGTAATTTTAAAATAAATATAATTAAATCATTAATAAATTAAATATTAATTTTTTATAATTTTAATATAAATTTATAATAAAGAAAATTTTTATTACATCTTAAATTTATAACTTGA